AGCCTTATCCATTTGACACATCAGGGAGGCAGTATTTTTGTGATGTGTATCGAGCAATGTTACGTAATGCCTCCCCTTTTAGCCACATAGGCATAGCAAAAGGAGTGCACCGTTGTGTTAGTGGGGTGTGTTAAAGATGTGGTGTTATACGTAACCTTTACCTATTCAAGTTTTGGAAAATGCACTTAAAAATATCGAGATACTCGTGTTGCTTGTAAAATAGCATATGCTTGTTTTCAATGAATGCTCCCTCGAGTCATTATCCCTCCAATTTTTAGGTAGGTACCCAAGGAGTTTGCGACATGCCAGTACATACAGATGGTGACTTTTCTCTTCCATAAAACCGACATGATGTGGGCGGCTGAGTCGGTATTTGTCACTCATTTTCTTGATTTTTATCTTGAAGGTGCTTTTAGGAAAATACCTGAGTGATCACGGATAGAATCTGAAACGAATAAAGAAAAAGATAAGGAGATTCATTCAAACATGTCAACACGTCCCTTCTTCATCCCGCTGGAGGTCCGACATAAGAGGTTACGAGCAGTATAAAACGAATGTTTTATGACCATGGCCAATGTCCACTCGTACCGCGCCCTTATCCTTACCGAGTCCTCCATCACAACAGAGCGTTCTTACCATCTCAGCCGAACGTCTTATCCCAAGGACCATCCCAACCGAACGCTCGAATCATCCCAACTGAGCTCTCTTCCATCCCAATCGAGCATTCTTACCACCCAACCCGAGTGTTCTTACCGCTCCAGCCGCCTTGTGAAGAGGAGTGTTCCACGTTCTTACTCGCCCAATACTTTTCCTCTGAAATAGCCGAAGCCTATATTGCACGTCGCTCTGCAGCCATGCTTTTTTGCACACATTAGTGTGTACCTCGCCCTCATAACATGGTAATCGTAAGTTGGAAGAAGAAGGTCGAGATAAATCCTCCCTGTTGCTTACAGCAGCCCTGGAATATGTATTGTAATGGTGATTATGTAATGTCCCGGTCCTGCTTTCTTCGCTCTGTTCTCGCTGAGTTGGTGGGAGTGACGGTGTCGCCGCTGCGGCCCGCCGCTGTTTCTCCGTGTCACTGCGGCTCGGCTCATGCCTTCGCTCTCCCTACCGTCACTTTCCACGGCGTTCGGCCGTGACGGCGTGACGGACGGCGCGTGACGTGCCGTGACGCCGTGATGCCGTGACGCCGCTCTCCGGGGCTGCTGAGCGCCCGTCTCGCGCCGCGTATCTGCGGGGGCGCTCGGCGCTGCGCTCCGCGCCCGGCGACCCCGGGAGGCTCTCGCTGTCGGTGGTCGCCAGCCCCGTACCGTCGCCGTAAACAGTCCATGTCCTGCTGATACGAGATCCAGGCCCAGTTACCGCGCCTCGCCGCAGAGCCATTCACAGATTTGCACAGACTGCTGAGTAGCTGTCTCCCGAACTGGAGCGGACGGTTCATGAAAGTCCCGCTCGCCGCTCCGTCGCTGGACCGCGCAGCTATCTGATTGTCCGAGATACGCTGGTCTGATATCTAGGCCTTTCAGGCGATCGTGATTACTAGCGCCTCGCTATCCCAGTCAGGCTGGAAAGAGCGGAGGGGGGGGGGCGGTGGCAAACGCCAAAGTTGATGATCGTGAATTCGCTTATTTTCATGCACTGTCATTGACGGGATGTTTACCCGCGCCGGGCCGGGGGGGGGGTGTTTGAACACCCCCCCTGCGGTTTTTCGCAGATATCTCAAAAACGGCGGCGCTCCGCGCCGCCGTTTTTGGCACACCTGTTTGTGCATCTTTTCCGCACATGTTGTGAAAATTTCAGACCCAGATCACCTTAGGTCAGGTCACCAGGTCACGCCAAGTGACCTCACCTCAGAAAAAATAAGAATGCTCGTCATAGCTATACCGATTGATCGATTGCCTTGAAACTTTCAGCGATTGATTAGAGCAACATTATCTATAAAATGTATATCTCGGAATTTTGATATCGGTGACCTAAGGTCAGGTCAATTTTGCGACCTCTCCATTATAAGTCAATGGGAGAAAATTGAAAAGCGTCTGTTTTGCACGAACGTTATTCTAGACACTCTCAAACATCGAGATGTAGGTAAAATGGACTCACTGAACCGGAAAATGGCAACTGTGACCCCTCGTTATGTCCCCGAGGTCATCTCAGGTCACGAACAGAATCTAACAGTTTTTCGCTAATAACTTCTGATAGAGACGTGCTAGAGCGCTGAAAACGCCTTAGATGTGTTCGGCTCGACGTTGCGGATCGACTGATATGCAACATGACCTTTTCCGGTCAGGTCATGACCTTGACCTGATGTCAAATTTTCAAGTTGACTTTTCAAGGTCAACTTATTGTTCATTCGACGCGTCTCGACGAGAGGAACACGATGGTGGCAAAAGTAATGTCATGACTCTTTTGAGTCAAAAGTTATTGCCGAAAAAACGTTTTTCGTAAAAACGGCTATTTTTGGAGTTTTTGCCCCCTGGAGGCTAAACCGTTGACCTGAGGTCAAATCTGAGAACATTAATCAGAAAGGTCTGTAAAAGGGCTATCGAATGCGCTTTTCCGCGGTGCTGTAGCTCTATCGGTTCCCGAGATAGCCGTTGGCAGTTTCCAAAATGTTGAAATAGTGGACATTTGACCTTTGGTGACCTCTGGTGACCTGATCTTTGACCTGACCCAAAAAATGACCTAAGTGTTTTCGTCCTTATTTTGGACGTTCTTTCGATTGCCGCTTACCGCGTGTCGCTACGTGGCCCAGGAGCCGAGTTAGAAGGGGGGGGTGTTCAGACACCCCCCCCCCCGGCCCGGCGCGGAATCTCAGAGCACCGGCCCGGCGCGGGTTAAAAGCCAGGTCGCAAAGGGTCGATGGTCTACATGGACGGCAAAACCTCCGCTCCTATAATGGTCTCCAGAGTGGTCCTGCAGACACATGTTGATCACTTTTGATTTTAAGCACTGCTTTTACATGCCCGAGACTAGGCGCTGCACATGCTGTGAATTGAGCCGTGAATTGAGTTGCATCTGTTTCGCTTTGGAAGGGCGGTGAAGTGGTGCGCTCCGAAATACGTCATGCTCCATGTTTGCGGCCAGTGAGAGTGAACCGTATGTAGATGGCTGTCAAACCAGAGCTTTGTGGCGTGTATTACGTGTCTTGGCTGACTGAGCGCACATTGTTACATTCACCGCTTCCCGTGCCTGGCTCGTATTGAGGGCGCCTCGTGTTCATGACTGGGAGTGAGCTCACATTATCACCACCCCCCGTGTCTGGTTTGGAATGAGGGCGCCCCCTGTCTCAGATGCTCAGAGCTAGGATGTTTCAGATGGCTCACAGCTAGGGCTTCAGAGTCAGAGATGGCTCACAAGTCACAACCAGGGCGCTTCATGTCTCAGACTCAGGGATAGGGCGCCCCGTGTCTCAAATGGCTTACTGCTAAGGCTTGGAGTTGGGGCGCCTGATGTCCCGGCTGATGCGTAGTTCAGTCTGTCTTCGTCGAAGCGTTTTTTTTCCAGTGCTCCTTAGGTCGATTATCATCAAAATCAGCCGAAAACTGATGTTGATTGACAGCACCCGTCCGCCCGAGTGTTTGCATACCGGAGACCATCTGGCGTGCCGAATACTTTAATGCATTGCAATAGCCAACGCATTGCATGTGTATTGCAGCACCCAACTGTGGTCAAAACTGTTGTCATTCCATTCACTGCAATCTGGCGAGAAAAAAAAACGGGCACGATCAGTGGAGTGGGTTAGACTGTTGGCGCCGAACCAGGCAGACGGTGCTGAGCGTTAATTGTCAGACAGACAGACCACCGTTCCCCATTTACCTGACCACCCCGGTTCGTGGGCCGACCGGACCAGGGCCGCGTCATCCGGTAGGTGACGTCAGCCGGCCGCGCCGGTGGCGTCATCAGCGCGTGTCCTCCGCTGCCCGGGCGGATCGCTGGTGGACGCGCGCAGCGCTGTCGGCGGCGGCGGCACTGACACGGGACCCAGTGGATGTGTTTAATGACCCTCTGGAATGTGGATGGATGGAACCCAATGAAAGAATTACACAGTGGGGGACGGAGAACTGACCCTTTTGGCCCTGCGTGGGCTTATCCCTGCGATTTTGAACGGTGGACAGGGGGCTCACCCCTTTGATTTTGGACTGCGCGGTGGACGGTTTACAAGCAAGACTGTGGACTGGAGCACGCCGCAGAGTTGCCAGTAGCTTGGTTCATCTAGCAGGGAGGCTCAGCCGTGGACAGTCTTCAGCCTATACACTCCGCCACAGAGGCTGTCTGTCGAACGTTTGACCGCGGTCGGAAGAGGTCGGAAGAGTGACCAGCCGGTAGTGCGGGGAGAGTGGTCACGGTCGCCGCTCTGTCCCGTGCCGTGCGCACAGTGCTGTCACCGCGCACAGACCGTCACGTGAATGGTACCACTTCCGGGGCTCGGTGACGGGTCTTTGTCACGCACTGATGTCACACACATCACGTCACCAGCTGATGGCCTGATGGCGGGCGGCCGGCCATGAGCAGCCCGGGTAACGTTAATCTGTGAGCTGGTTTAGAGCGCAAAGGAATCACGCGTTAGTGGCTGCTTTATGGGTGGGGTAGGCTGGTGTGGCAGACTGGGGAGGGATGGGATGGGACGGGTCGGGTGAGTGGGTGGGAGGGGACGCTGGATGAGCCAGGGGTGGAGGATGATTTAGAAGATAAAACAAGGTTAGTGAATGGGATGGGATACCTACAGCTCCTTTATTACTTTTTCAACCACCGTCAACGGTGTGGATAAAGACACTTCACGTGTTCAGCGTACACACTGGGCATTGTGCGATGCGCAAAGCACATTGCGTGCTTACGTCCGTCGCTCATTACGGCTGTATTGGACGCCAAACAAGATGTAGGAATGTGGTGTAGCGACCCAACATTCCGTCTAGGGTGATGAACTGCGCAGCGCGCGTGCATATGGCCAAACATGCAATTTGAAATTCGAATAGCGTGCGCCAAAAAGGGCTCCAGCCGATTTGATATCGAGCTGCGCTGCGGCGTAGCGCGATGGGGCCTGCGCTGCGGCGTAGCGCGATGGGACGATTTTCTGGTGCCGTCAGTGCTGACATCTGTGGGGGAAAGGCGGTACTTTAGCGAGTCTCCTTTGGTAACCCAGATGTCACTGGTGCAGTCTTCGAAGACTGCACTTCAAAGCCTGTCTGGTGTCTACACAGGCTGCAGCAATTTTGATATTGATTTTTGCTTCTCGTCTGATCTCAACTGTGAGTTGGTTAGAGCCGATCGGTGGGTGAATCAAGGCCCTATCTGGCGAATGACCTGATACCTACCAGGCTTGTCCAAGGCCCAGGCTTCTCAGCCTGGTGTCTGGTTGGCTGTTCACTGTGGTTTGAGCCCACATGTCTCTGTTCAATTTGATTGGTTTATTTGTGAACTGTTTTACAAGCTCCGCGCCCGTGGCTTACTGACTTGTGCCCTCTGTGATCTGATTCTACCTCAAAGTATGTGATTCACTTGACTTGTGTTTGTCTTTCTACTGCAATCAGTCATCACCCAGTGTTGTGGTTTAGGTAATTGTTTCCACTGTGAGAAATGTGAGCACTCGGTGTGTGTGGCTTACTGACCTGTATTAACTTTGGTTTGATTCCAGTACCATTTATGTGGATCACTGATCCAGCTAGAATGAGCTGACTTCACTGTGATATGATTTCAGCCAGTTGCCTATGAATGGCTTACTGACTTGTGTCCACTCTGATTTCAGTTGTGTGTAGCTTACTGACTTGTCTTACTCCAGATCGGTCTTTGTGGGTTAGTTACTTATTCCTGCTTTAGTATCATACCAGCTTGTTGTCTGCGGTTTACTGTCGTCTTATCTGATTCCACCTAGGTTTCTGTGGTCTACTGACTTGTACCCACTCTTGATTCCAGCTTAATTTTTATTGTGTTTCTGATCCCTTTTATCTGTTTTCAGCTTTATACCCATGGTTTACTGTTCATTGTTAACTGATATCTTTCAATGTCTGTCGTTCCAGATGTTGCGACTGGACGGTCTGGTGCCTGCTCGCTTCCTGAGCATAATGTCTCATCTGACTCTCACCATGACTCTCCTAATGGCGCGGGTGAGTCAGTGCTCTGTGGTGCTATATCAATATTGGATATTCAGTTGTTGACCTGAAAACTATGTTGCCGCACCTTGAACAGTGAACACTCATTCAGCAGCTTTTGTCACCAGTGTAAAAAAGTGTTTTGCTGGATTTGACAACCAAACCTACATTGCAATCGAATGTTGTTGGTGTGCTCTCCTTTGCCGAACAATTTCGTGCGTTTAGAGACCCCATCAGCCACGACACGTGCTAGTGCAGTGGGTCCAGAAATGCCCTCAGCAGTCGCGTGTGTGAGAGGCGCTGTGTCACTGTAAAGGGGCACAGTAAACTATAGTATGCCACATTGCGGATACAGGGTACGCGCCATGTCACATACGTATGTATCGTGTATGACGTAGTACAGAGACAGCAATGTGCACGAGTTGTGACCTGTGTGGATCGTGTCACGAGTGGCGCCCGTGTCTGCCTGTTTCAGGAGGAGAACGTGAGTGCCTGCCTGCCGCTGGACTACACGGACGAGGAGTTTCAGACCAAGGACACAGAGTGAGTGGCGGGCAGAGGGCGCTGAGGGGCCGCAGGAACCGGGAGGGAGGTCTGGGGTAATCCTCCCAAAAGGGGGAGGATCATTTCGTCGGTTTGGATCGACGGGACAAGATTACTTCTTGCTTCTTGAGAGTATACTAGATCATCTACTGGACTGGACAAGATTGTGGTGCTGGATCCTAGGGCAGGTTGAGCTTGCGAGGACCATGGACCGGTTGGTTGACACTTGACAATGGACCGGGTGTTCCTTGTGTACATCCGTTCCGTGCTTCTATCCTCAGGATACTGAAATCCTTCTCCTCCACGCCGCAACTCCCCTCCGGGCTGGACAGGCAACTTTATCTCACGCGGGCTGCTCCCTTGGAGCGGCACCGCTGCTCCTGAGGGAGCGCACCCCGTAGCCGGGTGCAGTGAGTGCCATGGGACTGGGTGGCCTGTCCTCTGGACGGGCTCAGCCCCGGCGACTCACTAGGATGCCTGCCCAGACCAATGTCTCCCCCTAATTCCTATCATCCTTCCGGCTCTGCAATGGTCTTGTCAGACCGAAAGGGCCTAACCCAACAAAACAAAAAAAAAAAACTTGTGATTTTTGCTTCACTTGTATCTCATCGCTGCCGCGAAACCCGTGGGCGGTCGTCCCGGTCGGGCCATTTGTCTACAGCCGCGTTCCTGTGCCTCCTTACGACTTAGCATACGTTACGTAGGAACACCACCCAGGCCTCTCCTATAAAATCTGTGTGAAACCTGGGTCCCAGTGCCGCTGTGGTCTGACCAAGGTCCGACTACTAGCGCCGACCTGCTGGACGATCCGCAAACTATTCGCTGCCGATACCATTACGCTGGGGGGGGGGGGGGGTGGATGGTGGCGCTACCTTCTCCGGGGGCTCAAGCCCTAGTTTTAGACTTAACGACAGGTGGCGCTGGTAGGCTGATTTCCTGCTCACTTGGGTGGGCGAATAATTAGACGTCGTCGTCAGAAAACGCCGAAGTAATATCATATATAACATGAATATAAACATTAGAGGATGTCCAACCAAAACCATCCCTTCACTACCAGAGGCACCCTCTGAGCAACAATGGACCGTTTTCGAGTGTATTTCCGACCACCAGGGCCGGGGGAGTTTTATTCCTGTCAAAGTCCAGGTAACTTACGAGCAAAGGCAGTACTAAACGATGAGACCCGAAGAGACGATTCGAATGAACTTGAAATTGATGCTTTTAAGTCAATTTACAAGATCATAAATGTCAGACCAGGGTCAAAAGTTAGAATCAGCATTTCGATAGTGATCTCAAGTTAATGTTTCAAAGGAATAAACGGCCCTCAAAATCGGATAATACTGGCTAGGAAAGAAATAAGATATTCAGGAAGTCCGACGATGTGCTTTGGGGCCAAGCTTAGAAAAATATATAATAGAATGCATTATGAAAAAAGACCCGAGGCAATATGAAGCCAGTATAAAACTTAGCCGTTTCCCAGCGAGTCTTACGACGCGCCTTGACATTAAAGATTTGTTTGATAGTTGATAGGTGGCAGTGTTTGTTTCGCTGTTCGGAGGCGACCGTGTTTGTTATGCTGTTGGCAGGCTAGCCGTCGCACTGACCGTGGCTGCGGCTCTAATGCTGTTGTATGGCCTCACAGCCGGTGTTTGTGTTTTGTTGCGCTGTTGGCAGGCTGGCCGTGGGACTGGGCGTGGCTGCGGCTCTGATGCTGTTGTATGGCCTCACAGTCAGTGTTTGTGTTTTGTTGCGCTGTTGGCAGGCTGGCGGTGGGACTGGGCGTGGCTGCGGCTCTAATGCTGTTGTATGGCCTCACAGTCAGTGTTCGTGTTTTGTTGCGCTGTTGGCAGGTTGGCAGTGGGACTGGGCGTGGCTGCGGCTCTGATGCTGTTGTATGGCCTCACAGTCAGTGTTCGTGTTTTGGTGCGCTGTTGGCAGGCTGGCCGTCGCACTGACCGTGGCTGTTGCTCTGATGTTGTTGTATGGCCTCACAGTCAGTGTTCGTGTTTTGTTGCGCTGTTGGCAGGCTGGCGGTGGGACTGGGCGTGGCTGCGGCTCTGATGCTGTTGTATGGCCTCACAGTCAGTGTTCGTGTTTTGTTGCGCTGTTGGCAGGCTGGCCGTCGCACTGACCGTGGCTGTTGCTCTGATGCTGTTGTATGGCCTCACAGTCAGTGTTCGTGTTTTGTTGCGCTGTTGGCAGGCTGGCGGTGGGACTGGGCGTGGCTGCGGCTCTAATGCTGTTGTATGGCCTCACAGTCAGTGTTCGTGTTTTGTTGCGCTGTTGGCAGGCTGGCAGTGGGACTGGGCGTGGCTGCGGCTCTGATGCTGTTGTATGGCCTCACAGTCAGTGTTCGTGTTTTGGTGCGCTGTTGGCAGGCTGGCCGTCGCACTGACCGTGGCTGTTGCTCTGATGTTGTTGTATGGCCTCACAGTCAGTGTTCGTGTTTTGTTGCGCTGTTGGCAGGCTGGCGGTGGGACTGGGCGTGGCTGCGGCTCTGATGCTGTTGTATGGCCTCACAGTCAGTGTTCGTGTTTTGTTGCGCTGTTGGCAGGCTGGCCGTCGCACTGACCGTGGCTGCGGCTCTGATGCTGTTGTATGGTTTACAGTCAGTGTTGGTGTTTTGTTGCGCTGTTGGCAGGCTGGCGGTGGGACTGGGCGTGGCTGCGGCTCTGATGCTGCTGGAGCTGCTCGGCTTCTTCCTCGGTATCTCCATGTTCATCCCGACGGCGGCAATGATCTGTATCCTTTGACGCGGCCGGGGACTGGCACCCGGCCCCTGACGCAGCGGCTCGCAGCAGTGGCTCTAACACCCCCGGCCCCCACTGAGAGCTGCCGATAGCTGTAGGTGTAGTGATTGAAATTGTATTGTACTCTAAAGGTTTTAAGCATGCAGCTCTCATGATTTCACACAAAAATTAAATCATCCGAACGATAATTTGATGAAAGTCTTCAAACGACCTTCGACAGAACTAGGGACTATTACAGGGTGTCCGGAAATTGTTTGCACACTGTCCATATTCACGTATCTTGCACGTGCTCCCGCCAAACCGCTTAGGGATGTTCGCAACCCCGCCCCCGGGCACCCCAGCGTGTCAGGTGATCACGTGACCCAGCAGGTGACCTGACCCCAGCGGCAGTGAGTGGCCACTGGTCGCTTTCCGAGAGGTAGTCTTCGCGCGCGGACCACATATGAGGAATGGTGAGGGAGCACACTTTGGCGACGCACCACCGCGCGGTTGGAATGGTTGAAACCGGGATGACGGTAGGTGATGTTGCCCGACAAGTGGATGTATCTCGCCGGACCCTTCATTACTGACTGGTTCTCGACCGCAGCGGTGCAGCACTGAAGAATCGCAAGGGCCGTGGGAGAAAAACTGTGCTGAGCAGAGTGGCCAAAATCGTGCTCGCTAAGGCCGTGCTGAAAAGACGCCAATCGACGCGGAAACTGACCAAAAAGCTGACTGAGAAGGGTCAAGCGGTGTAGAAGACCACTGTTCACAACTACATGGCCAAGTGCCTGGGTCTCAAACCGCTCAATCTGCGCCGGCAGCCAAAACTGGCCGAAGCCCAGAAGCTGAAGTGTCTGGTATTTGCCCGGGAGCAGAAGAACTGGACCATTCAGGACTGGCGGCGCGTCTTGTTCAGCAATGAGTCTGTGTTCGAGCTCATGCACCCGCTGAATCGCCAGAACGAGCGCGTCTGGGCGCACAACAGTGCTGAAGTACCTGCCATCGACACGGTGAAGCAGCCGCTGAAACTCATGGTCTGAGCCATGATGAGTCATTGAGGCCTGTCAGAGCTCCACATCTTCCCCCGCGGTCAGACCGTGACGGCCCAGTACTACGTGAAGGAGTTCTGAAGAAGTCTGCAGCGTCCGCGATGAGCGGAAGAGGCAGACGGGGGCGCCAACACAGGTCGAGCTGCTCCCGAAGATGTCCCGAGGCGATCTTCCGGCAAGACGGTGCTTCAGCTCATCACGACGCCAGCACTCAACGGTGGTGCTGGGACAACTTCCCAGGGCTTTGGGACAAGGGTGTATGGATGGGCAACAGCCCTGGTCCGTCTCCTATCGAGAAATTGCGGCTATCGTGCAGAGCGAGCTCGACATGATGGAGCCGGCTATCACCGAGCAAGCGCTTATCAGGAACCTCCAGCGAGCGTGGCTCAGCATTAGTGCAGAGACACTGTATAACCTGATGTGTGGCATGCACGACCGTATGAGGGAGTGTGTGCGATTGGGTGGAGGGTATATCGGTAAATAAACCATGACCCATGCATGTTTTGTTTCTTTGTTAAGTGGACTAGAAGAGTGCGCAATCAATTTCCGGACACCCTGTACATAAAGTAAACACGAAGTGCCTTGATGTCATGTTTAACCCGCGCCCCACTGGGGTCTGTGTATAACACGCCCTACGGGGGGGGGGGGGGCTATTCATAGCCCCCCCCCCTCCTAACTCCGAAACTACTGGGCCGATCGTCAAAATTCAAACGGCGTCTGATAGCCCCGGAAAAACTGTCGAGCGAAACCTAATTTCATTGACCTCGAGGTCACCGATGACGTCACAGGTCAGGTCAAAGTAAAAATTATTAGCATTTTGGCTTGTTCCTATTTTGAGCTCTGGTCGCCGCCTTCAAGTCAGATCAGGCTCATTTTTGGTTTCCACACTCGTGAACAGATGCTCTAGCTACCTTGAGGGTACCAAACTTGTACTTTGATTTTCAGGTCAGGGTCAGGTCATCACAGGTCACGGAAATATTATATCATGCGTCGGTCACGTGACACATGTTTTATGGTCCATTTAGGCCATAGATTTCGAATTTGATGTCGTCTGTGTCATTCGAGGTCATTTTGAGTCGAATTTAGCTTAGGTCAGGTCACTTTCAGGTCAAAAAAGGTCAAATTTTGACGTTAAAATTTTCCAACAAAAAAGGTGTCTATTGGATGCAGTTTGAGCTCAGGAACACGATGGTGTCATTTATATTGGTGTACGATGTCAAATACGTACTGAAAAATTGATTTGAAAAATTAATAATTGTGAATTTCTTTGCAATAATGCGTATAACTTGGCCATTTTTGAAGATATTTAGCTAAAACTTGCTAGAGTTAGTCATAATCATGCGTTCTGTCACATATATTCCGTTTTTTTCGAAAAGTCAAAAACTTTTTGAAAAAAAAATATAAAAATATAAATTTTGAATATTATTATATATAATTTTCGAAATTTTCAAAATTTTGAAAATCCGAGATAGCAGTTTGATAGCGCGGTCAATTCTGAGTCCTTTCATGCAAAGAAATTGGATCTAGCTTAAAAACTGAGGCCTTGGGAGCGATTGCCGTGGTTCAATGTTTTGCGTCGAAATCGGACGAACATGACGTCACTCTGACGTCATTTCCGGCCGACCTATGGTAGCTACGAAGTTCAAATTTTGAAACAAGGTGTCAAATTGATGCAGCCGAAGGTACTGAAAGTTTGGCGTCGATCCGTCAAGCGGTTTGGAAGTTATTGCAGAAAAACGGGAGGGGGGCTATAAATAGCCCCCCTCCAGTGGGGCGCGGGTTAATATTTGCCTGAAACGTCTATGACTGATTACTATATAGTAACAAAAAAAAAAAAACATGTTTTACCAACATATCATCACATACTCAAAGGAAGCCATTTAAGCTAAAAATGTTTTTTTTTCGAAACTTCGCTCAAGCTGCTCGAGGTAGGTAAAAGCGCTCGAGGTACAGGGTGGAAAGTAATTACGCGAACATACTTTTTCGTCTTATAGCAATGGAAAAAGCGGCGGTGACATGAAAATTTCATCTTTTCATATATTCCGCACATGACAAAGGCGTTCAGGCATAATTGACATGAGCATGTCAAGCACTGTTGGCCAAAGCTTAGTCCACGCCTCCTGGAGCTGTCTGGTGAGGCAATCGATGTTGGTGGCTACTAGCAGCTCTTAGACGCTCTCCTGAAGAGTCGCCTGGATATTTTTGATCAAATTGAGGTCTGGGCTATTCCCAGATTGACCATTATATGCCCAGAAGAAGAACGGGTTCTCAAAGCACCAGTCTTGCGTCTTTTTGGCCGTGAGAGGAAGGACTTTATCAATCATGAAGAAGATTTTCTTTGCGTCGGGCACAAAAGTGCGCTCAATCATTTTGCCCCTTTTGGTGCATTGATGGATTAGATAAAGAGACTCGTCTGGAAGGATGTTCCACTAGTTGTATACTTTATTTTTGGTGGCCTTGTTGGTCACTACATGCAATTCTGACACCATCCGGGCGCTCATAACACGCTGATGTGTGTTCCTTTGCCGGATGTTTGAAGGTTGGGACGGGCGGGACATCGGACGCATCAGCAGCCCCCAACGCGTTGTTCTGCAGGTTTGACGGATGAAATAGCTTCGAAGATGTCTCACCCAACCACAAAGCCAGCTGCCTGTCCTCCTCTGTTCAGGTTTGGCGGTCTTTAGAAAACTTAAATTGACTTAAGGCCGCCGTCCACTGTGCGGAACGCGTGCGTTCCGTACGGAATTTAACACAGAACCCTATGGGCGCATCCGGTCCGTACGGAAATCGTGTGCGCTCCGTCCGGACCGCATCCGAACGGCAATCAGCTGTTGATTTTCCGTCAGCTCTCCGCATGCGTTTCGGATGCGGTTGCTACGGAGACGGAAGAGTGATGTCCGACGCGTTGAACTTTTCTGCGGAAAACGCATCCGGAACGTCCGGAACAGACGTGGTTTGGGGCCGTATCGGAGGCAAACATTGTGAATTGTACGAAGAATTGGAACTCGATCATCATGAAGTAAGTAAAAATTATTTCCTTAGAATGGCAAGAGTATTCGCTGCTGGTTACTTGCAATATTTTATTTGGTAATAAGTGATAGGAAACATTTATTAGCTCTCCGCATCCGGACCGCATCCGGACCGCATCCGGACCGGATGCGGCCAGCTTGCGGCGACATTCCGGACGGACTCCGGACGGAATTCCGTCGCAGTGGACGGCGGCCTTTAAATTAACAATTCTGCTGTTAATTCATGAATTTTGGCCATCTCGATTGTTTGTACGGCTTGATTTTCGAATTTTCACGGACTTATGTATGAATCGTGATATCTTAGATCGGGTACCCGGCCAAAGTAAACCATTTCGCCTGTTTTCGGGTCGACTGTTGTCGTTTGGTCGCGGAAATGGTGACCACCCATTCGGCGCCTGAATTCGCCGAGGTTTTACTGCCGCCAACGGCTTTGCTTTTTAAGTCCTCTTAAGTTTTATCATGCTTCAACCAAACGTGTAATTGAGTAATGCTGGTGCCGAGACCGTTCCGAGTCCCTTCCGCACCAATCCAGCCAAAATAATCACAAACGCTTTCCCTGGCAACTTCAAATTGAGCTCTTTGCCCATTTTGGTCTTGAGCAGCGTATGGCGTCAGCACCACTCGAAGCCGAGAGGTGTTGTAGACCTTCCAAGTCATTTTTCAAAGTAAGGTCACTTTTGTTAGATGAGGCGACAACAAACACGACCAGTCATGTTCCATAACAGCCCGCGTTCATACAAAATCTCCACTGACGGGCGAAATTGTAAGAAAATACATGTTCGCGTAATTACTTTCCACCCTGTAGGTAAAAGGTTTTTGTTTAGATCATATAACCAGTTTTTCTGCTTACGTGAATTTTTGTTTTCCTCAAGAAAAAGATCCGAATTTGGGATTGAAGGGAGTTTGCAAACAACAACTGCTGCTGTTTGGAA